TTTATGTGTATTACTAATCTCTAATACGCGTTTATCTTGAAAAAAAAAACTATCATGGCTTCACGTGAGGCGTTATGGAACAGCAACTGTTTTGACATTCTTAGTAACTACAGTACTACTGAACTTTGTATTGGTATAATCTATAATATGATTTTTCTGTATTACTGAAGACTGTTTTTGTAAAATATATTAATATATTGTAGTGATATAGATAATTCTATTTGTTGTTCTTCAGTAGAGTGCATGCTACTCTTGGAAAGTTTTTTGCGGTTTTGTCCAGCAGTATTTTTGATTCTCAAGACCCCTATCATCAGTATTAAATTTCCATTTAAATATAATAATTGACCAACAAATTATATATGTTTTGCTAAATTTAAAAGACATAAAAATACGTATAAAATTCCACCCAATCTTTAACGAAATTATTTTTACTTAACTTCGGTAAAGGACAGATATAAATAAAATATTATTTTCATGGAGCTGTAAAGAATGTTAAATGTTGTTACAAGTAAAGGAGAAAGAGATTCTACAAACGCCAAATTTTGCGAATGGTTCTAAACATACATGATTTAATTATATCTTTAACAACATTTTCCTAACATTTAATATATTTTATCTTCCAACTTGCCTTCCGTTTCTCACACCTTTTCTATTGGCTGCGGCTGTCTCCTTCTCGGGCGGAGAGGACGCTGTGCTCCCCGCTACTCCAGGGCGTCGGACGTAAAGATCGCGTTAAAACATGCGAGACATATTTCCTTCTCGGGGTGACGAGGTGGAAGAACAACATGGAAACTTTCAGACCCCGACCTCCCCCACGGCCCTCGTAGAATAACGTGCTCGGAACTTTGGCGGTGGCGGTTTACTTCCCGAGATCCCATTTAAGGCGTTGGCAAGTGAATCTTGTGCGCACTAGAGTGCCCGTATAGATCTCTTCCTACTATACAACTACCATACCTACTTCCTACCATACCTACTTCCTACCAACTACCTACTTCCTACCATACGAACAAAAATCCGCCCTTAAGAGCCGATCGTCAAATATTTCTTTGTATTTCAGCCTTATACATAGCTTTTTTCGTTACAAGAAATCGTTCATAAAACGACGTCTTTTGGCACTGATTATGACGCATTTTCCGTTTATGGCACCAATAATTGTGCCATCACACATTCCAATCACAGCAAGAAAATGGTGGGGACACAGCGAACAGCCGTCCTCCGTTTTCAGCCCACATGTCAAATATCAGTGACATCACAAATTTGTATTCCAAAATTATTTTGATCCTCTTATAAATTAATAATGCTGTTAGACAAAATATAACGTAAGCATCTTATTTATAATTTCAACTTATTGCATTCGTCAACATTTGAAAACCTGTCGTTGCTCGTTTTCAAAATACAAATTTACGCAAAAAAGTTTAACATACCATGGTCGCACAATAAATATACTATAACATTCCGCCGTTTGTCTGAAACAATACCAGCAAATGAGATGTTCCTAAGATGATGTACGATTGTTTCCAAAGGTGACATTTTAGAAATGAGCGAAATCGTAAAATTATTTGTTTTAATTTTCTTAATAGTACTCCATTTTTCGAGAAATTTAAATGTAAGGGCAGAGGCAAGAGTGCGGTCGACCTTCTGTGGCCCTGGTTCGTTTTAGATGCTGATGAGGCCAAAGATTTTCAGGGGAATACGTGACGTCTGCGCCAGCAAATAAGTAAGTTTAGAAAGAATTCGGTAGATTAACATGAACTAGTCTTCTGAAGACCGGTCTTCACTTTCAGGGTTTTTGCCTTTAACCGTACCAAATGGTCCTTTTTCACGGCCTCGATGTGCTGAAGAGACCATCTGGGGTTAATGCAAGTATCCGAAAGTTTGAACGCTTTGAGATATAGAATTTGTAAAGGCGTATACGTTTTCGGTCTAGCGAAACAGTATCAGGTTATGAAATTTAGGTGTAATAATTACCCATTAAATAAAATAATACTAGTTTTAATTTTCAACACTGATAAGTTTATTTTGACTTCCATATTTACAATGTAGCTGAACAAAGGGAATAGCGGCAATTAGTCCTAAGTAGGGTCGTGAAAATTTGCTGACGTTTGGGTTTAATTGTTTCAATTTGTCTCCACGTACTTCATAGCAGACACAACTTCACGAACTACGACTCACGACAGAATGGCCAGAAACTCAATATTTCATAATGATGAGAGTTTCTGTTGGAAGTTCTGAATCCTTGACTGCAATTTCCTCGCAAACACCACGAACATAAGCCGTGTCAACTACGAAGTTCAATGAACATGATTATCGATCAACATTGTTCGAAAAAGTATCTGATAAACTATACTTTAGTTTTTATTTAAGTAATCCTTGAGTAAAATGCGACAAGGGAAAAATAATTCTATTCTAAGAGCCGGATATAAAATATCTTTTAATTTTTATGGAAGTGAATTCTCGAGTAAAAATAATTATACGTTAATTCAATTCACTTCGAAATTATCACACAAGCTCCGTAAGATTGTGAAGAAGATTATCTTCCTGCTTCAATTTCATCTAATATTCAGAGAGACAAAGAACTTGAATTGTGTATTTTTGCATAGTGTGCGACTTTACTACTTTGAAGCCAGTTTACATCACGCAGTAACCAAGACTAACAGTTTGAAGTATTGCAAAGAATCAGTATTTGCTTTAATTTTATCCTAAAATATAGATATGTAATGAAATAATGCAATTTTGAAATATTTACGTAAAAAGAAACCTTGAAACTATATTTTCGTTTCACGTGATTCGATATTCACTAGATATTTTGTGCGTATTGAGATTAGGTTGTGAGTCACTATTATCCTCTAATAGATCTCTCTCCTACATTACTCATGCCCAATATGGATCAAATCAATCAACAATGATATATGGATTTACATTGTAACCGCTATAAACTTATCATCAAAAGGAAAAAATAAACTAAGAGTTGTTTAAATGTTAACGCGGACAGATGTTCGAAAAAAGTTGATTCACAGATTCCAAGAATATGTCCATTTATAATTATAACGTAAATAAATCGTAAAAAACGACAAAGTTAAAATTTTATGCAGTTTACCCAAGTACAATTATTCAATTTAGTTTCATAAACAGCAGAGCCAGATTTACAATATGCTTCATTTAATTTAATTCATTTTTAGAAAAAGCTCTATTGATGGAATGAACACACCAAGTCGGTAACTTAACAAAGCCACCTTAATGTAAAAAAATCTCCCTTTCTTGAATTGCGAATAAAAGAATATGGGAGCAACCAAAGGGTTTTATACTTGTTCGACTTCAATCACATGATGACGCCACTTCACTCACTTTTCAAGATTAAAAGTGAAGCTACAAAACTCGCAGTTTTTCCTTAACTTGAAATCGTTGTTTCCTTTCAATTGAAACTGACGGCAGTGATAAGCGCTAATGTAAGCCTAACCAAATATTACGGTTCTCTACAGAACTACTCCTAGTTCTATTATTACTTACATCAGCAAAACGTGTGTTTGGTACTGTCCTCTGAACTTTTAATGAAGAGAAATTTGCTATTTTGTTTAAGACATTGACGACAATTAAAATAGGCCGAGTATTTTGCAATACCACTGTAAACAAGTGTTATGATCCCTATATGACGAATGACATTGATTCATGTCATTCAGTAATTAATTGACTTAATAATAGGTTCCCAAAGCGTCAACCGTCACGTCGAGCGAGTCACGTGGTCACGTGGAAGGAGATGTCATAGCCCTGGAGGTGGCGGTGTTCTTCCTCGGGGGAACATTAGATCCTGTGTTGACCTAAATGTCGGCTCGGAAGTTCCCCTTCAGGTACACTTTGTTGCGGATTAGGGTATTTAGAAGCCTCCGCATAAAATGGTACACGAAAAAATTGAAAACAATATCATTTGAGAGGTTCTGAAAATGGACGTTTTTAAGCACATTTTTTTAAAAATGCTTGAAGTGTCAAAAAACTTCGTAAGAAATAATTTGAAGCATTTATACTCACCACTGTAATAATGTATAAAAGGTACGTAAAGTAGTAATAACGACGAAATAGATTTAAAAAATACAATCGTGTAATTAAAAAAATGAAAATATTACATCAAAATAGCGATATACCATGCGAAACAGTGCATTTAGGACTGCTCCAAGAAACGTTTAAAGAAAAAATGTAAAGTTTTCTTTTTTTCAGAAAATTGTGTTTTAATATTAATCCGGACTTAGAATTAATGGGATGCATGAGAGGTGCGTTGGCAGGGTGATAAGGTGCGCGAAGAGACATGGGCGGTAACGTACGTATGCACACGAACGTGTGCATGTGTAGCTGGTGCGTGATAGAGCAAACGTGTACATGTGTGTGAGGTGAGTGGGAGCGCGAACGGGTGCATGTGTATGTGGTGAATGGACACGCGAACGTCTGCATGTGTGGGTGGAGCGTGGGCGCGCGAACGTGGGGATGTGTAGCTGGTGCGTGATAGAGCAAACGTGCACATGTGTGGAAGGTGAGTGGGAGCGCGAACGGGGGAATGTGTAGATGTAGCGTGAGCGCGCGAACGTGTGCATGCGTATGTGGTGCATGGACATGCGTATATGTGCATGCGTAGGTGGTGCGAGGGCGAGAGTGAGATCGGCGTCGATGGGCGCATTATCGCAACATGAGTGAGAGAGTGGGAGTGTTCGGCGCGGGCCCGGATACAGGTGCGGGGGAGGTAACTAGAGTTGAGTGGGATGCCGGGTGGCGATTCAAGGGCGTGCGTTGTTGCGTTGGTTGAGTTGAGGGTGTGAGAGTAGGTGAGCGTACGTGTGCGTGTGTATATGGCATATGTGAGAAGATGGGGTATGTACGAAGCACGATAGAGGGTAGGGGTGTGGCTAATATGTGATCCGGGTACGTGAGAAAAGTACGTGAGAAACACATGGAAGTTGCAGAAGGTTAGCGCGTAGGCGAGCATGGGCAAGGGTTACACAGTTTGCGGTTTGCACCGGGGCGTGAGAGGGCTCGTGGTGGACACGTGGAAAGGGCCGGGGCTGGCACGAGTACTCAGGCAGGCTGCGAGGGTAAGAAGATGTTGGCGATGGGCAGTACGAAAGTGGGCAATCACGTGGGCGCGCGCGCGGGCGGCGTGGGCGAGCGCCAAGTGGGGCATTGGCCGCCCCGCGCGGGCCGGCGCCCGCCCAACTGGGGCAATCGATCGGAAGAGAGCCACGCCGCGCCCCACCCCCTCCGCTCCGCCCCCTCCGCCGCAAGACACTAAACAACTTTGCGTTGTCATCGCTGGAGCGCGCTGCGGGGCTTAGCTGCAGACAAGCAGCACAAAAGGAGATATGCTGCGAGGTGGTTGTTAAGTAGGAAGACATTCATCTGCTATGGAAGATTTTTATCTACGACGTTGCTGGATTTCGGCTTTTGTAGACGGCTCGCCGTCGGCTTTTGTAGACTTCTGTGAAGACCGTGCTACGTGCATATCGAAATGAAGACATCATTAAATAAAATATTATCATTATAAAATCTGGATGTCTCCCTTGAGAGAACGCTTCTATATTTGTATCGTGTCTTTTCGTTTCCGATTAGATCTTTTCATTGAAGAGAAGTTCCTGTTGGTTGCCTGGTGTTTACATACGATACATGTTACGAAGTTATTTGAGTACATTTCTTAACAGTATCTTTTCTGAGCTTAAGATCGTAACTTCATAGATTGTTCTTTAATCTAATTCACGGATTGGCTCTTAAATTTCAAGCACTCGAAATGTTCATTCTTTTCAGGGCTCAAAATCTCCACTGAAAAACTCAAATTAGGGTATGTGTCGGTAAATGATACTGCAACAACGCTTAACTTTCATGTAATTCTACGCTTAGTGGAAATTATTACCCATTTTATGTTTATTCCCTCACTGTAGAAGTAGTGGCCGTGTAGAAATAGATTATATCGATATTAGGGTATATCCCAAGACACATCCTCCAATATCAATCACATGTGTAACTTGTGGAAAGGCGACAATTTAAATTAAAATTAACTACTTAAGTATGCAAGAAAAAGAACGAAAGGTAGGTATTGTATGCAAGCACAGCGACTAAAGCTGAGTCTGAAAAATGAAATAAATAAGAAACATTATCAGACAAAAAGAAATCTACGAGTTTCTTTGAATGATTAAATGATAGAAAGAGTGAGGGAAAGAGGGAGAAATAGAGAGGAAAATGAAGACATGGGGAAAGGAGGCGAAAAGAGAGCTGTGGGAATTGCAAAAGAAACGGTTTTGAGCTGTAGCAGATTTTGAACAAAATGACCTTAAAACATCCGGTATAAAATCTACCACCCTTTTGAATTCAGTATGATCAAACGCTTAAACTAACAACCATATCCTCGTGATATACTCTTCTGTACTCTCTCCCTATCTCTCTATCTATCTCTCTCTTAGTAATTTACAAAAATAAACCTCCTCTAACAACAATGATAAAAAGGTTATCAGTGAGATATAATAGATAGATTATACGCAACAGAAACGATGAATTTTTGCTATGAGTTTCATATATGCATAGTTTAGGTGCTGAAAAAAGGGTTACATCCAATGTGTTGCTTTATCCATTCAAATGTGTAACCGTTTTGCATTCTCTGTTCTAAATAGTACACTGTTAAAAAATTTATATTAAAGTTTCAAAAATAAAACCAGTAATCGTGTAATTACGAGACGACCTGGCTATACCTAGAACAGTAGTATACAGTTTTAGTGTATTTATGTGTACCAATCCTAAGGCCGTAATCGTGATCTTGAGTCTCAGATGACACAAATGACAGGGTTAATCGATTCTATTCTTCCGATACATGAACTAGTAACATCATGGCTTTCCCTCTGCGTCGTGTGAACTTGTCCTTGGCGCCATTCCACGCCATCTCCGCCGCCACAGTACACGCATTCTCTATTCCCCAGCGCATGTCACAGTAGGTGTGAGCGAGGTAATAGACATATCAAACCACCGAATTCACAATGCATGCGTTATCAATGACACTTACACACATGCACATGTCATTACCAAATCGTTTTGGTGAATACTATTAAGGTAGTATTTAATTAGCTGTCCGGGCGCGCAAATGGCAAAGGTGCCAAAGTTTCGGTCGCCGTTCTGCGACCTTCCTCAGGGCGCATTACGCCTTGCAGAAGGTCGCTGAATGGCGATCGAAACGTTGCCCCCTTTGCCATGGACGCGGCGTCACCCGGATAGCCAATTAAATACTGACTCCGGTCGCGGTAGCCTACGCTCTCACTATTAAGTTAGGAGCAACACTCTAGAATTTCTGCAAAACGTACGTACGATAACGTTTACGTACGATAGAGCCTTAAAATATGTTGATACACCGATGCTGACGGAGAAGGATACAGGAAATATTGCAGTCGGAGGGCCATTTGAGGTTGATTACCAAACAATATTTCTTAGATTAAAAATGAAAAAAATCTCAGTTTAACACTTTTGAAAACTCACATTACAATAATTAATGTTTACTCTCCTGTTCATTATAAGCGTTTTGATGTCAATCAATAAATATGCGGTTTTTTTGCAATAAATAGAATAAAATTACAGAAAAGTACTGCATTTGGGGACGGATCATAATCTACGTCCGATACTCCGTGGATACTATAACGCGTTTCAATATAGAATCTGCGGCTAATGTATTTACAAAACTAATTTATGCTAATAGTTCAGTTCAATGGCTTAGATATCGTTAAGGAAATAAGTCACGCTCGCCGCATGCCTCCTTTCACTCCGGGCGAAAACAATAAAAAAACAGGGCCCAGGAAGACTGGATATATTGCTTGCTGGAAAAAGTCCATTTTAGCCTACTCTAAAATACATATTTCAATAGCTTTAGATCTTGGTGACATTGGACAACGGTTATTAAACTACCAACGTTTACATGCTGTGTGTGAAAATTTTTGTACTCGCATAATATTACAGTGCAAAAATGGTTGTTCCAAGACGTACGAAGTATACAAAAAGTATGCACATCGGTTGAAATGTGTTTTCGAACTCGACTCGGCTACAATCTTCCTGTTGATAAATACCACGTTCAAAGACCATCACATTTCGTACTTAAGCTACCATTTCGATGACATGGTTATAATTGTCACTGAGACTTGTTTCTGAGTTTCACTTCTGTTTTCCTAAGAAGTAGAAAGAAAGTTATGTAAGAAAAACGGCGAAGTTTTGGCAGAAAAACTCTTATTACGGGGCCCTAGTAACGAAAAAGTGGATAAATCGAGATGCTAAATTTAGGAAAAAACTATCACGTAGTGCAGCGGGAATCCATGTTTTGTTGGTCCTTGATAGAAAAAAAAATCAAATCACCGTAAAACGTCTGTCGTCTAACAGTATATCCCTGTGTGTAACTAACTGAGCGACTTAATGGTTCAGCCGATTTTCTTCAAAACTGACATTTCCCCATCAATCTGACTAATGTTCCGGCCCTTTGAATTTGAAGCCGATATTTCAATTTGGGAAGGGTCTTTACATGAAGCGCTTGAGAAATTTTTTAAATTTTTAAGAAAAATGGTTGCGTCGCTTTTGGTTTAATTTTGTCCTTGAATAGCCTAAAGAACGTGTAAGAGACTGGTGCAGGTCTCTTATTTGTTAAAAGCCCTAGTTTTCGAAAATTTGCAAAACTTCAATTTTTTTTCGGAATCGCACTACAACTCAAATATTAAAGATAGAGATTTTTTGCCCTCAAAGAACTGTTCCCTAAAGATAGATTTTGAAATAAGGTCATGTACAATTTTTCGAAAGTTCGAGTACTTTCCGCGAAATTTTGCGTGAAAGTACAGGCGAGAGAGTACACGCTGTTTTGGCTCCACTAGTTTTCTTTTTCTTCTTCTCCTTGTTCTGGTGTTCCTTCTTCGTCGTCGTCGTCGCCGCCATCGTTGCTTCCGCCGCCCTGTCGTGGTAGTTGCTGCCGCCACCGCTGCGAGCGATGTCGTCGCCAGCGATGCCGATCAAGTACCGATGGCGACGACATCGCTTGCAGCAGTGGCGGCACGGTGTGCAGATGAGGTGCTGCTACCGCCGCCCAAAGAACGCAGCCTTCTCATCGACCAATTCTGAACACACAGTTGTCATCCATCGTCCGGTTGAAACAGCGAAAATTAAACACTATTTCAGATAAATTATGAAGGCTCGTGTGCTTATACGAGTAGATTTTATATCCTAATACGTCTTGTCCAATTATTTGCAATTACCAAATAAACATACCAACATTCGAAATAGGTTTGTTGAAGCGCTCTAGTCTGCGTAACTGTCATAAAAATGCTAATGCTAAGTAAGCCTAATGAATTACAGCATGCAAGAAATTAACACACACAGAAACTACTTTTCCGAAGAAATAGTGAACATAAACGACGGATCGCTCATTTCCCCAATTGTCTTTTATAATATTACAGTTAGGCTGCCAGAACACTAGTGAATTAGTTCCAGAAATTGTATTTAGAAAATTATTGTCATTATTATTACTATTATTATTATAGCTTTTATTTTTATCATTATCTTTATCATTATTTAAGTCCAAACTAACGCTTTAACTCGTAAATACCGCTTTAAAAACTAATTTACTATGTTCGACGATTAAATGTGTGTGTATATTGATGTGAATGCGAATTTTGATGATGAAATAAATATTAAACTTCTATCTCATTTCTTACAAAATGCGTCGTAGGACCGACAGACACGCGGGTCTGGTCACGCATGGCGTCGAGAGGCCTCAATCAGTGACACTCTCCACCGAACTAAATTTTACCTCATTCAATAACTTCTTTCATTCATAAACATCCACGTCCATCCATCTCACTCAATTGCAGGTCACCCACTGCTACTTGAGCTAACCGGCAGGTAAGGTAAGACGTCCGTGAAGGTCACAATATGTACACTCCATTTCTTGTCTTTGGGTCATGTCTATCTTTTTCAGTCTCGATTCATAATGGACGATGAACATGCATTGGATAGAAGTAGTCGCAGTACTAAAGACGCGACGTCTAATGCTTTATCAGGAAACGTCAAAAAGAAACAAAGAACGATGGCAACAACGTGCAATGAAAGACCAGAAGACGGCAGTGGCAAGGACTCGGAAGCCTTTTCGATGAACACGATGGGATCGGCAAGTACAAGGATTGGTGCCTCCAACGGGAAAATGTAACATGTGATTGTGACTGAGTCGACAAAACTAACAGACGTCAAAACAGCGGGAAAAGGGTGGGAAAAGCGAGTATTTTTTGTCAAGCAGCTAAATCAAAC